CTCTTTGTGTTGTACCCAGGGTACCTCCTGGTTTGACACTGTGTACAACACGTCTAGGAGTCCACACAGACTGGGGTAAAAAGTCCTGGTCTTATCACTAACTAAGCTCTCTGAGCCTCAACTTCTTCGATCAGGAGATGAAGCCAAATCACCCACTTTTCAAGAACTAGAGATAATGTGTATTACAGAATCTAGAATGCCCACTTGAAATGTATGACCACTATCTAAAAGTTTTACATACACAACTCTGTAAGACATATGCATGAAAGAGAACACTTTTTAACAACTTTCAACTAAAATGTGGCTGTCTTTAACAGCCTCCTAAATTTTATGACTTAAGTCATTCCCTCTGCTATTCATTTCCCACAGAGCCTTCAAGCAATATTTTAAAAATACTTGATTTGGCCAACCTGGCCATGTCACCCATCCAGCTTACTACAATCTACAGAATAATGACCTCAGAAGCAAAATGTCCAGCCATCTCTGCAAATAACTACTCTCCTTTTGAGAAACAGCTCTTGTTCTGCTCTGGTTCTCAGTAGTGTCTAAATGTTTAACCTTGAGCCACCAAGTTACCTTGCTACCTGAGCTGCCCATCATGAGCTGGTGTTACGTGACACACAGAGCCATAAAGTTGGGTGTACATAACAACATTCCATCATCAAACGGAAGTGGTATTTATGTGATCGGGCCCAAGCAGACCCTGACAATACAAGTAAGTTACATGAAGAAGTGGCCCAAATGCCCAGAGTCCCCACTCCTGCTCCAAGGCCTTTTCCCTCTCAGCCTGCATTATGGCTTCTGAGGATCTCCCTATAATCAGCTGACAGAGGAAGAGAAGACTCTGGTCTGGTTTACAGATGGTTCTAGACAACACCTGAAAGTGGCCAGCTGCAGCACTACAGTCCCTTTCTGGGACATCCCAGAGGGACAGCGGCAAAGAGAAATCCTCCCCGTGGGTAACTTCAAGCAGTACATACGGTTGTTTACTTTGCTTAGATGGAAAAATGGTACAATTACATACCAATTCATGGGCTGTGACCAATGATTTGCCTTGATGGTCAGGGAGCTGGAAGGAACCTGAGTGAGTAATTGGTGACAAGGAAATTTGGGGAAGATGTATGTGGACAGACTTCTCTGAATGGGCAAATAATATGAAGATATTTGTCTTGTGTGAATGAGGATTTTAATAATCAAGTAGATAGGATGACCCATGGTGTAGACACCAGTCAGCCTGTTTCCCAGTCACCCCTATTATCACCTGATAGACTCATGAATAAAATGGCCATGGTGGCAGGGATGGAGGTTATGCATGGACTCAGCAACATGGCCATCCTGGCTACCGCCACTGCTAAGTGCCTTACCCGCCAGCAGCAGAGATCAGCACTGAGTCCCTGATATGGCACCATTCTCTGAGTGATCAGCCAGCTAGTGTTTTATCCTTACTGGAACAGACATTTACTCTGGATATGATTTGCTTCCCTGCTCACAATGCTTCTGCCAAAACTACCATCCATGTGGACTTACAGAATGCCTCTCCAGTGTGTGTGTGTCTTATCCAATCTGCTGAAGGCCTGAATAGAAGAAAAGGTGGAGTAAGGGAGAATTCACATTCTTTCTGTCTGTCTTTGATTTAGGACATTGGTCTTCTGCTTTTGGACTCTGAACTTACATCACTGGCTCTCCTGGTTCGTGGGCCTTCAGAATCAGACTAGAAACTCTATCAGCCCTCTGAGTTTCCAGATTACCAACTGCAGATCTTGGAATTTCTCAGCCTCTGTAATCATGTGAGCCAATTCCTTACAATAAATCTCTTCATAAGTGTGTGTGTGTGTGTGTGTGTGTGTGTGTGTGTGTGTGTGTGTGTGTGTGTGTGTGTGTGTGTGTGTGTGTGTG